CCCAGACGGAACACCCACAGGACTAGAAGCTCGCTCAGCACTGGCACCACTCCCAGACCCGCCGGGACAAGCCACGTCAGGAGCCCACTCCTGAATGCCAGCACCCCCAGAAGGCACGAACTGCTGCTGCAGCGGCAGCGACGACGGCTGCGACTGCGACGTAGGGCCACCAGAGTCAGCATACTCCTCAACCGAGACAACTGACAGGAGGGGGGTGACGTGAGACACACCAGACGGGGCAGGGCGGGGAGGAGGGGGGGCAGGGGCGACCGGGGGTGGGGTAACCAGGAACAGGGGGGGGTAAACTGGGGGACCACGGTGGGGAACGCGGTGGTAGAAGGAGACGGACTCGTCAAATGTGACGTCGCATGAGTGAAAGAAACGGTGAGACGGGGGGTGGTAGAAGTGCCAGTTAGACGAGTCAAGCGGGATAACCGAGGAAGATACAGGGGAGTGTGCGGGCAGTGAGCTTGTCTGTGCCAGAGGCATGAACGTGAGCAAGGCAGCCCTAGACGTGGAACGCAGAGGCGTCACCAGGAGACCCGGTCCAGAGAAGGATCAGTGAAACCTGTGGCCACTGAGGGTACGGCCACAGGTTAAGCTGGTGAGCGGTGTAACGGACTGCGAACGGCCACAGAAAATGGGGTGCACCAGCGTGGATCATGGAGGTACGAGCGACCTCCATGACCAAACCGATGAGTCGCTTAGGACCCCATTCTGCTGCGGGGAGTCCGGCAAGATGAACATCTGGGTGATGCCCTCCGCACGACAGAAACGCCCAAGGCAACCAAAGGCGAACTCGCCACCGCGGTCAGAGTGGAGACGCAACACATGGAGGCCGCGGTGCACACGCTCAGAAACGAGCCACGGGATAAGAACGCCAAGCACGTCGGCCTTCCGCTCCAAGGAAAGACGTGTAGTTTAGTATAACGAGTGTAGTCGTCAACAAGGACGAGGAAGTAACGCTCATGACGTGGCCCATGGGCAGGGGCAGGGCCCCAAACGTCCACGTGCAAGGTCTGCAAGGGTGCGGTGGTGGGGGGGAACGAGGAGGAGTGAGGGGCACGGCGGAGCCGGCCCTCAACGCAAGGGGTGCACGGCGGCGCAGGTGTGGAGGGAAGTGTGGGGAACGATCCAGGGAGGCCTGAAACAAGACCGTGCTGAGACATATGACAAAGATGAGGGAGGGCAGGGTGACCTAGACGATGGTGCCACAGAAGTGTCGGGTGAGTAAGCGACCGACATGAGCAAGCCACAGCTACCTGATGAGACACAGTCACCTGGGGAGACGTCCCAACCAGGGGGGGGGGCGGTGTCCTGCGTGAACAGGCCGAACACCGGGTCTCGGGGGAACGTGGTAAAGGGAGAACCAGTGGCGGCCTCAGTACAGACCACGTACTGCTCGTGACCAGGGAACGTAGTGGTGATGCCAAGGTCCTGAAGATAGCCGACACCAACTAGGTTCCTAGAGAACGAGGGGATGTGCAGGCCGGTAAGGGAGCCCGAAGGAATTGCCGGACACGGAAGGGTAGTGGAGCTACAAGCTACGACAAAACCGGAGGAAGGGTCAGCCAGGGATACTGCGGGGGGAGCGACAAGTGGCGTGAGAGTAGTGGAGTCCCGGAAGAAGCATCGGGAAGCGCCGGAGTCAAGGGTGAAGGAGATCGCTGCAGTGGCAGCAGTGGTCGAAGAAGCAGGAGAGGAGCCTAGACTAAACAAAACAGGGGATCCTACGCCTGACGCAGCAAGGGGGTATGAGCTAGGCACACCGACGCTAGGCAACACGGGGTAAGCGGAACCAATCACACTAGAGTCATCAAGATACAGCACATACAACGCAGAACTAATCTCATCCATGTCCATATCAAAGATCTGAACACCCCGACGAAGCAAACTGAGCCAGTCGGGGAGGTCGGGCGACGGGCCGAAGCGTTGCTGCTGCTGCTGTGGCGACTTCAGCTGCTGCTGCTGTGGCGACAACAGCTGCTGCTGCTGCTGCTGCTGCTGCTGCTGCAGTGGCTGCTGCGACTGCTGCTGCCGCGACGGCTGCTGGTCGAGCGGTGGAACCTGCTGCAGCGACTAAGAATGCTACTCGGTGGTGCTAGGCCCAGCACCCTCGTCAGCAACCCCAGCGGACGACCCGGCTCCACCACCTCCTCCACCCCCACCTCCTCCGCCCCCACCACCGTCGCGCCCAGCCTTGGGGCGGCGACCCTTTCCCGGACGAACCTGTACGGCCGTGGCTGTCTCAGCCACGGCAGCAGAGCCGTCAGAGAAGGTGCACTGAGCAGGCGCACAACCCTGGAAGATAGAGACCGGCACAGTACCGCTGGACTGGGCGATAGAGCGCTGGCGGGTCTCTATGGCAGACAGGGTGTCGACAAAGTCATTAAGGGTGAGTTTGGCGGGGTGAGTACTGAGATAGTGATCGCGGGCAGTAGCAAGGCAGGCAGGGAGGCGAGTGGCAAGCAAGTTAGCGCAGTGGGGGGGCTGGAACACGCGAAGCTGAGCCTCAGTGCAGGCAGAGTGCCAGGTCAAGTCTAGCGAGCACAAATGGGCGCCTAGGTCAGCGACAGTGGGGAAGGACACGAGATCAGTAAACAGCAGAGGCAAGATCAGGCAATCGACAGAGGTAGAAGACAGGGTGAAATAGCGCTCAATAACAGCATCTAGAAACTCTTGGGCGGTCCTGATCGACCTAAAGCGGGGACTCTCAGACGGGGGAAGGGCATGACTTACGGCTAGTTGTGCAACAGCGTCCCGCGACAACTAGACCGGGCGGGCAAGGGCTGCAGTGGCAGCGGACTCACACTCAGCAGACGTGGGGTCAGCGGGCAGCGCAGCAGGGGGGTCAGGACAGGGGAGCGTACCGTCAAGGTGGACAGGTAAGGAGTGGCCGTCCTGCCGCTGCCCAGTGAGGTGACAGCGGAGGTCGACGAGCCACGTGTCAAACTCGATCGGCTGACCCTCCGCGTCAAACTGCAGTACAGAGTTCGCCATCAGGAGCGATGCAGCTGCGGTTCAGGGCGGTGCGGTGCGGTGTAGTGCGGTGCAGAGCGGTGCAGTACGGTGCAGGGCGGTGCAGTGCATTGCAATGCAGTGCAATGCAGTGCAGTGCGGTGCAGGGCGGTGCAGTGTGGGGCAGGGAGGTGCAGTGCAGTGCAGAGAAGTGCCGGGCGGTGCAGTGCAGTGCAAGGGCCGGCTGCACGTGACGTGCAGCTGGGCGTCAGGGCCGGGCGCAGGAGCGGGCCGGTGCGGGCCAGGGGCGGGGTGGGGACGGGCCGGCGACGGGTCGGGCGCAGGCCGGGGACGGGGTGAGCGCGGGGGCTGGCTACGGACGGGCGCGGGAGCCGGTGCTGGACGGGCGCGGGAGGGCCGCTACGGAACGGGCGCAGGGGCCGCTACGGGCAGGCGTGGGGGCCGCTACGAACGGGCGCGGGGGCCGCTACGAACGGGCGCGGGGCCAGCTACGGACGGGCGCGGGGGCCAGCTACGGACGGGCGCGGGGGCCGCTACGGACGGGCGTGGGGGCCGCTACGTACAGGCGCAGGGGCCGCTACGGACGGGCGCGGGGGCCACCTACGGACGGGCGCGGGGGCCGCTACGTACGGGCGCGGGGGCCGCTACGGACGGGCGCGGGGGCCGCTACGGGCAGGCGCGGGGGCCGCTTTGGACGAGCGTGGGGGGGGCGGCTACGGACGGGCGCAGGGGCCGGCTACGAACGGGCGAAGGGGCCGCTACGGACGGTCGCGGGGGCCGGCTACGGACGGGCGCGGGGGCCGGCTATGGACGGGCGCGGGGGCCGCCACGGACGGGCGTGGGGGCCGCTACGGACGGGCGCGGGGGCCGGCTACGGACGGGCGCGGGGCCTCTACGGACGGGCGCGGGGGCCGCTATGGAACGGGCACCAGGGCCGGCTAGGGGGCGTGCACGGGACCGGATAAGGGACGGGCGGCTAGGACCTAGGGCGGAAGCGCTGGTGGGCGAGGCGGACCTAACCTACTCATGATACCATGTTAGAATGCAAGAATAACTAGAATGTGACGATACAAGGCAATATAGGCTAGAGTGTTGTACCCTCTAAGGCACAAACCTATATAGCATACAATAATATACTAAGTTATATTTGACACCCCCCCCCCATGTTTACCCAGATTTTTCAGGCCTCCCAAAAAAAAATCCGCTGAGTAATCAGGGTTACTGCAGAATTTGACGCTGATTTGGCGAAAATTGGGAGATGGGCAAAACGACATTCGGGGAGGGCAAGGATGGGACAAAGTGGGGGGGGGGGAATGGAGGGAGGGAGGATTCCCGTGGGAATCATGATGATGTTGAGGCCATCAATTTTTGTGGCGACTCTTTCACGAAGCTGCGGCCAATCAAATTTCGTCGAATCGATCCAATCGCATAGCTGAGCAAGATTGCAGGGGCAGAAGGAGGAAATCTCGGCCTCACAAAGCCAAGCCAACACATGCCCAATGGGTGCCTTACGAAGGGCCAATAAGTCCTCAGACATGGAACAACACACGCTAGCCCTAAAATTTGGCGAAGGGCCAAAAAGTCCCCGAACAAATCTCCCCACACACGCTAGCCCGAAATTTGGCGAAGGGCCGAAAAGTTCCCTCACAAATCCCCGAACATACGCCAGCTCTAAATTTGGCCAAGGGCCAAAAAGTCCCCTCACAAATCCCCCAGCACACTCTAGCCCTAAATGTGGCGAAGGGCCAAGTGCCCTCACACAACCCCCCAGCACACATCGAGCAGGGGAAACATGTGGATATTATGGCAGGGCACAGAATCACACTGCTATAGGATTCAGGGGTAGCTGCCCGTTAGGAAAAGGCTACAGGGTCTACTACAATTGCAACGCTGTACAAACAGAGTTTACTCATAAAAAACCCTGAAATTTCAGGGTTGTCTCAAAAAAATCCTAGCACATCAGGGTCGGTACCAAAAAAACCTCTGAAAAAAACATGAATCAGGGAAATTTGCCTGAAATCTGAGGCCCTTATGACTGCCCTTATGACTGTATGCTCCAATGAGGTAGATGCAAGCATGTTAATCTTTGAAAACAGCCACAAGAGAAGCAGCAATGCTAAACGGTTCTCTGCTCGTTTCTATGGCATCTCCACCCTCTGTTCGCTCACAACCGGAGCTGAGAACACCATTCCCTTGTCCAGCCTATACACACGCTGCCACAAGTCGTTCTCATTTGGAGCAGCTGCCTCCCTGGCGGCCTGCACTGCTGCATCCACCTCCGCCCTCATCCTCCTCTCTGCCTGCCGTAGCCCCTCCTCGCTCTCCACCTCATGCTGGCACGGATGGGAAAGGGGCAATGAGATGGGACACGCAAGAAGAGAAGCCGCGGGGGGAGGAGTCCATCTGACGAGCATGGGTGCATCATGTAGGAAGAGAGGCAGGACAGCATATATCACAACGAGATTGACAGCAAATGCATCAACCGCAGTCATCGCCGCATGAGGTTGTGTGTGCATCAAAGGGCCCGCCGCCACCCTGACCTCCAGCATGAGGCGTCGGACTCGCTCGATGGGGTCACGAGCGCGGCGGGTGTGCTGGATCTCGGTGCGCTGGCGGTAAGAGCTGCCGGGGTCAGACATGGAGTGGCCGTGGTAGCGGTACGTGTCCATCTCCAGCACCATGGGGCCCTGGCGCATTCACATGCATGCACATGCATGCACACCACACACACACACACACACACACACATGACACACACGCACGCACACACGCACACACACACACACACACACGCACGCACGCACGCCCACGCACGCACGCACGCACGCACGCACGCACGCACACACACACACACACACACACACACACACACACACACACACACACACACACACACACACACACACACACACACACACACACACACACACACACACACACACACACACCACACACACACACACACACACACACACACACACACACACACACACACACACACACACACACACACACACACACACACACACACACACACACGTGCGCACAGACACACACATGGGGGATGAAGGAAACGGGAACGAAGAAGGTGGGGTGTGGTTGGCGGAGGAAAGCTGGAGAAGACAGGTGGGAGGGGGAGTTAGTTGGAGGATGGGGAGGTTGGAGAAGCAGCAAGGGCAGCGTGTGGGCAGCATTTGGACAGCATGCGTGTATACCTTGGAGATGGCATGTTGCTTGGCGTACTCCATGGCTTGCTTCACTGCAAGCACATCCATGCCATCTACCTGCTCACTCATGGAGGCACGCATGCACGGGAAGAAGGGTGCACGAGCATGCATGCTTGGATCAAGAGCATCCATGCAACAGCAAGATGCGGGCCATAATGCCTGACAGCGACAATGCTGATGGCAGCATGGGGCAGCACGTACGAGCAGGCCGGGGATGTACTTGACGCGGTCGAAGAAGCTCGTCTGGGCCGATGCACGGCGCTCAGATGTGCCCATGCCGTACTGCACACAGCATGGCACGCGCGGGTGGGGGGGTTGCAGACGAGGTTTGGAGGTGGCATAAACCAAGAACGGAATGTAAGCATTGTGATGCAATTTGGAGAATGCTGCACTCGGCATGCAATGGAAGGAGCAAGCATGGGCGAGGCTTGTCCAGCAGCTCACGTGGTTGTTCTCGACCACGAAGACCACTGGCAGGCGCCACAGCGCTGCCATGTTCATTGCCTCGTACACCTGGCCCTGTGGGCGGAGAACAATACGGGCGTGCATGGGGAGACCATGAGTGCAGGGACATCTCAGAAATGCGCATTGCAAAACCGCTATATGGGCGGCATAAACAGGGACGCTGAAGAGCCTGGGCACCATTCCCAGCACATGGTTACAGCTACAACACCTTCGACGACCTGAGCACACTGTGCACAAAGACAACTAGGACACACCCTCCAAACGACTGTGCCCCATTGTTGGGCACAACGCGGATACTCCGTGGCGTGCCATGCCGTGCCATGCGTGCTTCTCTTGCCCCAGCCCACCTGGTTAGCAGCACCATCACCATACACGGCGGCCGTAATGCTCTCGCCCTGCTGCCCCGCCAGCTTCTGCCCCAGAGCTATGCCCGCACCCAGCGGGGGCGACGTGCCCACGATGCCCCAACCGCCGTAGAAGCCCCGCGCCACGCTGTACAGGTGCATGGACCCGCCCTTGCCGCGCGCGCACCCATCGCACCGCCCCATCAGCTCCGCGAACAGCTCCTGCACGCGGGGATGGCACAGCCACGTGAGAAAGACAAGTACACGTGTACAGGTTCTCCGATTCCGCTGCTAAACACGTGAACGAATCGTTCCAGCACCCCGTGGGCCAGCTGCCAGAAAAATAATTCCTTCTGTCTTTCACAGCTGACGTGGCGCTATTGACCTGCAGCGAGCCCCCTCTGGAGAGGAAGAAGCCGTGGTCGCGGTACGCTGTGATGAGCGCGTCGCGCGGCGCCATGGCGGCCTCCATGCCGACGGCCACCGCCTCCTGGCCGTCGTACAGATGGCAGAAACCGCGCACTGCCTGCGCCTTGAACAGCTGCGCACACACGGTTGGCACGGGCGAGTTGAAATGGGGGGAAGAGGGTGGGGTGGGGGTGGGGGGGGGGGGGGGGATGAGGGAGGACAAGAAGGATGTGACGGCGGCAACGGTGATTCAGGTGCGTCAGTAGCGCTGCTCATCACGCGCGGTGCCTCGAGGCGTTCGGGGCAGCAGTGGCGCGCGCACCATGTCGGAGGCGATTTCTGCGCGGCGGATGACGGTCATGTCGCGGAAGAGGCGGCGCAGATCGCGAGGCGTGGTGCGCGCGAGGGGCGGCGGCGGGTCGCAGTGGAACGGCGTGGACGGCGCGGCTAGCTGCACCTCGATGGAGTCCGACGGTTTTGATGGATAGCGGGTGCTGGCGTCAGATCCCGGCGAGGCAGGAACACCATGTTGGGCAGAGCGCACGGCAGTGCTGGCAGGCGGTTGCTCCGTGGACGTGCTAAAAGAGATTGCTGCTGGTGCCGCCGAGGGTGGAAGTAAACGGCTTGCAAGGGACGGCGTGGCGCATGTGGATGGAACAGACGGAGGGTCCAGTGCTGGAGGGACTTGTGGAGCGCAGGCGCGCGGCAGCATGGCCAAGTCAGTCGCCCCTAGCCATCTCCTGTGCCCCGAATTCGCGAAACCTGATAAGAATGACCGAGCGGGCCTTAGCATCAGAGCGGACAGCATGGGGGGATGCTGTCTTTCTTGAGTTTCTTAGGCTTCCGAAACTAAACCTCAACCCCCGGCGAGCATCCGAGAAATGCAGAATTGGAGATTAGGAGGTGAGAGGGGCAATGGTAAAGGCAATGGAAAAGGTGGAATGGACCCTGCAAAACCAGCGAACATTGAACCGCAGGTAAATGCGCGACTCGAAATGCCCACACCCGAACTGCATGTCAATCTCGAGTTCATTACACGTGGCAGGGCTACACCGTTCCTCTCAAACCAGTAAATATCCCATAATAGAAATTGCCACAGCGTGTATTAATTAGTCGAAAGTGACAATGAGGGGAGAACAAGAAAATCCCCTACTTTTCCCCCCCTACAATCACAGCTGCGCTGCGACTAACATGCACCCTGTTTCGACGACATGCGATTGTGCGGCGTCGCAATCGTCGCACGATACCCTAACTCTTGCCCCAAGCTTCGTTCTTGTTTTGCGCCGAGCGATTCCCTATCATCCCCGCCACCCAATGGGATGTTGCGGGAGCACAGCGCAGACCCTGCCTGAGCGCTTTGCGACAGCGCAAGATCTGCTGGACCCTGCTTGCGACGGAAGTCCCCTCCACGCGAAATCGCCGATCTGCTCAATGCTCTGCAAGCTGCTCACACCCCCCATTCCCCACTCCTCCCACTTTGCCGCCCAGATCTACCCTCTCCTGGTTTCCGCTTCCGCCATCCGCCCGAATTCTTGTCCCCCATTCAGCTACTTGCCACGCTGGTTCTAAGGTTGACCTCCAGGGCTATGTTTCTCCCCTCCAGATCGATCGTGTACTTTTGGGTGCCATCGTTTGTTCTATCCCGCCTGATTTCCTCCCATTGCCGTGGCCATACTCTTCTGCTCTCACATTGATCTTCTCTCTCCTAGTGGCGCCGCTTTCTTCCTCCGCGTCTGCACCACAGCTGACGTCCCACCGCCCGTGCCGGCGCTGCAGCCATGGGCGCGCGAGCCGACGAGGCGCGCAGCGAGCTGCTGCGAGTGCGGCGCGACATCCAGATGGTGGAGGAGCAGCTGGCGCGCGCGACGCACGAGCTGGACGAGGCGGCGAAGGCGGGCGATCGGGAGCGAGTGGACGACCACCGGCGGATGCGGAATTGCCTGTGGAAGGAGAAGGAGCAGCTGCGCATTCAGGAAACCATCTTCTTGAAAATCGCCTTCGCGGATTTTGCGCCTCCCAACATGATGGCATCTCCAGGTTCGGCATGTGGCGAGGGTGCGGCTGGGGAGAGCGCGCGAGGCCCGGTGATGGTAGTATGCAGAGTGCGCAGAGGGGTAGGCGCCTCTCGAGTCGACGGAAGTCATGCAAGTGCCAAGAGCCGTGTTGGCGTGCGGCGTTTCTCCCCCCCATTGCTTCCACACTCTTCCCACGCCATCCCTGCATGACTCCCCACTCTTTCTTGCCCCACCCACGCCCTTTTATATTCCCCCCTTTTCGCGTCCGTCTCGCAGGCTCGCACGCCTTCTCGTCCCCCGCCCTCCCCTCTCCCCTGCATCTCCAACACCAAGCGCAAATGCTGCCGCATGCCGCGCACCTCGGTCCGCCTCCGTTCAACAACCCCCCTCTCGCCGCGTCGTCGCTGTCCGGCTCCCCGGCGCTGATGGGCGCGTGCGACCCCGCCATGACCCCCCTGCACACGGGCGCGCTCATGCCCGCCACTAGCCCGCCCGACTGCTTCTCCCTGGGCGGCCCTTCCCCGTCCCCCCTCCAAACCCCGCTCTCCGGGCCCGGCGGAGCAATGGGCATGGGCGCGCAGGGGGCAGGAGGGCATCTCGCCGCCGCGGGGATGTCGGCGGGGCAGTCTCTTCTGGGAATGCTCCCCACCTCTCCCGCCATGCGCCCCGCCGCGGGGACACCTGCATCCGGCGGCGGGCGGAACGGGCGGCGGAGGGGCGTGATGTCCCCTGGGCTTGCGCCGATGCAGGGCGGCGCAATGTTGATGGGCGGAGACATGGCGGAGATGGCGAACCCCGAGGGGTACGAAGTGAGTCGCAACCTGGACGCGCGCGTGGAGGATGTGTGGCGCGAGTGGAAGGACGGGCTCAACGGCGGGCCGTCCATCGAGAAGCTCGAAGAGGCGCGGCGGCGCGACCGCAAGTGCGTGTGGTGGCGGCATAAGAATGACTACAAGTACTGGCGCAAGCAGGTGAGGGGGGCGGCGGGCTTGGGGCTAATGGGGGGCTGTGAGGGGCAAGCGCAGGGGGTTGAGACGATGGTCGGGTACGCCTCGGAGACTCGTGCTGCATGCTGCATGCTGCACGCCGTGCTTCCCCACTTGCGACTTGAGTGCCGTTCACACACCGCACTCTCCCATCCACTCAATCCCTTCTTCGCCCTCTGCTTGCCCTCTCACTCCCGCCTCTTCCCCTTGTTCCCCGTCCCCCTCTCCCCGCACTACCCTTCTGTCTTCTCTCCATCACTCCGCCACCGCCCCGGATTCTCCTTGCGCGCTGCTGGCGGGGCGGCGCGCGCAGATGCGCATAGTGCACGCGGTGGAGAGCAAGGCGGGCGAGTTCGCGGGCGACGTGGCGGCGGCCATCCGCTTCTGGGACGACATCCTGCGCGTCGAGTTCGCCGGCTCCATCTCCAAGCTCCGCGAGGCGCTCGGCGGCGACCGCCCACTGCCGTCCGCGCAGTCCTCGGGTGCTGGCGCCGGGGGCAACGGGGTCGACGACTCCCCTGGCGCGGAGGGGCGTGGGGAAGACGGGCGTGAAGGGTCGGGGGAGGGGAATGATGGGGGGGGGGTGGAGGAGGCGAGGGGAGCAAGTGGAAGCGGCAGAGGAGGGAGCTGCTGCAGAGGGGCGTGGAGAGAATGAAGGCGTGGGCGCAAGGGGGGGGGAGCGCTGGCGGGGGCGGTGGCAGTGCGCTGATGGCAGTAACGCCTGTGGCTGTGGGTGGTGTGTGTGCAGAGGCCGGCATGGGGGGTGGCATGGGGAACGGCATCGTGGCGGAGGCGGGGCCGCTGACAGGGGCGCTGGTGGACGCCATGGGCACCCCCGTGGGCATGCAGGCAGGCATGGGGCAGCAGGGGCAGGTGAATGTCGCGACTGGGGTGAATGGGGTGGGTGCACATGTGGTGAGCGGGCATGATGTGGGTGTTGTTCAGGGTGCCGTGATGCAGCACGGGGGAGCGGACGTCATGCAGCAGCCTGGGGCGGGGGGCAGCATGCAGCAGCATGGGGGGGGGAACGGCATGCAGCAGCATGGGGGGGGGAACGGCATGCAGCAGCATGGGGGGGGGAACGGCATGCAGCAGCATGGGGGGGGGAACGGTATGCAGCAGTATGGGGGGGGGAACGGCATGCAGCAGCATGGGGGGGGGAACGGCATGCAGCAGCATGGGGGGGGGAACGGCATGCAGCAGCATGGGGGGGGGAACGGCATGCAGCAGCATGGGGGGGGGAACGGCATGCAGCAGCATGGGGGGGGGAACGGCATGCAGCAGCATGGGGGGGGGAATGGCATGCAGCAGCATGGGGGGGGGGACAGCATGCAGCCGCATGGGGGGGGGAACGGCATGCAGCAGCATGTGATGCAGGGGCCTGGGGGCCAGCATCGGCAGTCTGCTATGGTGCAGCAAATGTGAGTCCTATGGGTGTCTGACTCCCAGACGTGGAGCACCCATGCCCCTTAGTTGTGTCACCTTGATACGTGTGCAATGGACAAGCTGTGCCCATCGTGTCAAATGTAACTTAGGTGGTTACTGTAGACTATACTGGATTGTGCCTTAGAGGGTACAACACCCTGGTCTATATACCCTTGTACTCACACATTCTAGTTTACTTATTCATTCTGATATGGTATCATAGTAGGTTAGGTTTCCTCTAGCCTGCCCACGCTTCCGCCCCTAGGCCCTAGCTGCCGTCGCGCCCGTCCCTAGCCGGCCCCCTGCCCGTTGCGCCCGTCCCTAGCTGGCCCCCAGGCCGTTCGCGTCCGTCCCTAGCCGCCCCCCTGGCCGTTCGCGACCGTCCCTAGCTGGCCCCCTGGCCGTTCGCGACCGTCCCTAGCCGGCCCCCTGGCCGTCGCGGCCGTCCCTAGCTGGCCCCCTGGCCGTCGCGCCGTCCCTAGCCAGCCCCCTGGCCGTCGCGCCCGTCCCTACCTGGCCCCCTGGCCGTTTGCGCCTGTCCCTAGCCGGCCCCCTGGCCGTCGCGCCCGCCCCTAGCCGGCCCCCTGGCCGTTCGCGATTGTCCCTAGCCGGCCCCCTGGCCGTCGCACCCGTCCCTAGTCGGCCCCCTGGCCGTCGCGCCCGTCCCTAGCCGGCCCCCTGGCCGTCGAGGCCGCCCCTAGCTGCCGTCGCGGCCGCTTCCAGCCGGCTCACGGCCGCCCCTCGCTGTCGCGGCCGCCCCTAGCCGCCGTCTCCAGCCGCCCCACGGTCGCTCCTGCTGTCGCGGCCGCCCCTAGCTGCCATCGCGGCCGCCCCTAGCTGCCGTCGCGGCCATTTCCAGCCAGCTCACGGCCGCCCCTCGCCGCCGCGGCCGCCCCTAGCCGCCGTCGCTGCCGTCTCCAGCCGCTCCACGGTCGCTCCCGCCGTCTCGGCCGCCCCTAGCCGCCGTCGCGGCTGTCCCTGGCCGCTGTCGCGGCCGGCTCTATTCGCCGTCGCGCCAGCTCCTAGCCCCCCCCCCCCCCGCTGCCGCCGTTTGCTGGCCCCTCGCGTCCGTCGCCCGTTGGCCCGCCCCGGCATTCGCGTCGTCGCCAGCCCGCCGCCGCCTCAGGGTCGGCCCGTTCTTCTCGATCAGCACCGCCCTGCGAACCCCCGGTACCGTACTACACCGCCTTGCACCGCACTGCACCTCACTGTACCACACTGCACCGCACTGCACTGCATCGCACTGCACCGCACTGCACTGCGCCGCACCGTACTGCACTGCACTGTACCGCATTGCGCCGCATTGCGCCGCACTGCACCGCGCTGTACTGCTCTCCACTGCCCTCTATTGTCACTGATGGCGGAGGTGCTTCGCTTTGACGCTGAGGGCCAGCCGATTGAGTTTGATGCGTGGCTTGCTGACCTCCGTCGCCACCTCCCTGGTCAGCTGCAGGATGGCCACTCTCTGTTTGTCCATCTTGACGATAATCTCCCCTGCCCTGACCCCCCCGCTGCACTGTCTCCTGATCCCTCGCCCGCTGAGCGTGAGTCCACTGCGGCCGCTGCCCTTGCTCGCTCTGTCCGGCTGTCCCGTGACGCTGTCGCACAGCTGGCTATTAGCAATGCCCCGCCCCCCTGCCCGAGCGACCTCGCTTCAGGTCTATCACCACTGCCCATGCTTTCCTAGATGCTGCTGTCCAGTGCTATTCCACCCCGCTTGCTGCCTCGGTCGGTTGTCTGATCCTGCCCATGCTCTTTCCTGACCTGGCGTCGTTCCCCACTGTCGCCGACCTGGCCGCTCACCTGCGCACCATAGTCGAGACCTGACGTGCTGCCTGCACTGACACACAGCTTCTAGCCCACTAGCCGCCCCTCACCTCTACTCTCTACCTGCTAGCCACTCGCCTTCCTGACCGTCTTGCCACTGCCCGTGACCGCTTTCTTAGCGTCCACCCCGCAGACCTTACCCTCACTGATTTTGTTGACACCCTGTCCGCTATAGAGGCCCGCCACCGCTCTATCGCTCAAACCAGCGGTACTGTGCCGGTCCCTATCTTTCAGGGTTGTTACCCCGCTCAGTGCACCTTCTCCGACGGTTTTGTCGCTGTGGCTGAGACTGCCGCTGCCGCACAGGTTCGTCTGGGGAAGGGTCGCCGCCCCAAGGCTGGACGTGGCGATGGGGGTGGGGGTGCGGGTGTAGGTGGTGCTGGAGTTGGGTCACATAGTGGTGGTGCTGACGCGGGGACCCTACCAGGTGCAGCCGAGCAGCCGTCTCAGCAGTCGCCGGTGTTGCCGCCGGCCACGTGCCAGCCGCAACAGCTGCAGCCGCCACAGCTGCAGCCATCGCCGCAGCCGCAGCAGTCGCAGCAGCAGCAGAGGCGGACGAGTCGTCTTCCGCCTGGGTGGCCCGGCACTGGTGGCAGCGCTGGATGTGGTGGTGGTGCGCGTGGGTGGCTGCCGAATGGTGGTTCGGGTGCCGCGCGCTGTCAGTACTTGCTTCAGACTGGTCCTCGCCGTGGCTTCGTTTGCGGTAAGATCGGTCATACCTCCGTCCGCTGTTTCCGTCGCCTGGACGACCTGTTTCGTCAGCGTTTCGGCCCGTCGCCCTAGCTCCCAGAATGGCACAGCTTGCTTAGTCGTAGGGTTCAGATTTTTGACCTGGACATGGATGCGATTGTTGCTGCTCTGCATGTGATATATGCTGATGACTCTAGTGTGCTTCCGTCTTATTACCCCTTGTTGCCTAGTGTAGGTTTGCCTTCCTTAGACTCCCCTGCTGCGTCAGGCGTAGGATCCCCTGCTTTGTTTAGCCTTGGTGCTTCTGTCGCTACTTTGCCTCCGGCCGCCACTGCCGCGCTCTCCTTCACCCTCGACTCTGGCGCTTCCCGGTGCTTCTTCCACGACTCCACCACGTTGACACCGCTTCCTGTCCCTGCCGCAGTCTCTCTTACTGACCCCTCCTCCGGCCCTGTAGTCGCCCGCAGTTCCACCACCCTTCCCTGTCCGGCGGTTCCTTCGGGCTCGCTCATAGGACTGCACGTCTCCTCGTTCTCCAAGAACCTAGTTGGTGTCGGCTGCCTTCAGGACCTTGGCGTCACCACTACGTTCCCTGGACACGAGCGGTACACTGTCTGTACCGAGTCCGCCACTGGTGCCCCCCTGTCCACGTTCCCACGGGACTCGGTATACGGTATTTTCACACTGGACATGGTGACCCCCCCGACTGGGACCCCCCCTCAGGTGACTGCGTCTCCTCCGGTTGCTGCTGCCTGCTCCTGTCGGTCTCTCACTCATCTGACTCTTCTCTGGCACCACCGCCTAGGTCACCCTGCGCTCCCGCGTCTGCGTCACATGTTACAGCACGGTCTCGTCCTAGGCCTCCCTGGGTCGTTCCCCGAGTTTCCCTCCTTCCTAGCCCCACCTTGCACGCTCTGTATCGAGGGTCGGCTCCGCCGTGCCCCTCACTCCTCCTCGTTTCCCTCTACTGCAGCACCGCTACGGACTCTGCACATGGACGTCTGGGGCCCCGCCCCCGTCCATGGGCCGCGGCGAGAGCGCAACTTCCTAGTGCTTGTCGACGACTACACGCGTTACACCACTGTGTTCCCCCCTCGAGCGGAAGGCTGACATGCCTGCCGTTCTTATCCCGTGGCTTGTCTCTGTGCGTGTCCACCGCGATCTCTCTGTCTTGTGTCTCCACTCCGACCGTGGTGGCGAGTTTGCCTCTGGTGTCCTTGGTCGTTTCTGTCGTGCGGAGGGCATCACCCAGACGTTCACCTTGCCGGACTCCTCGCAGCAGAATGGGGTCGCTGAGCGACGCATCGGTTTGGTCATGGAGGTGGCTCGCACCTCCATGATCCATGCCGGTGCACCCCATTTTCTGTGGCCGTTCGCCGTTTTCTACGCCGCTCACCAGCTTAACCTGTGGCTGCACCCCCAGTAGCCTCAGGTTTCGCCGACCCTCTTTTGGTCTGGGTCACCTGGTGACGCGGCTGCGTTCCACGTCTGGGGCTGTCTTGCTCACGTTTGTGCCTCTGGCACGGACAAGCTCACTGCCCGCACCCTTCCCTGTGTCTTCCTTGGCTTCCCCCTCGACGCGTCTGACTGGCAGTTTTACCACCCGCCGTCTCACCGGTTCACTCCCATAACGTCACTTTTGATGAGTCCGTCTCCTTCTTCCGCCGCTTCCCCCACCGAGGTCCCCCGGTTACCCCCCCCTATTCTTGGTCACCCCTTCCCCGGTCGTCGCCGCCCCTCCTCCTCCCCCTCCCTGTCCTGCCCCCTCTGGTGTGTCCCACGTCACCCCACTTACGTCGGTTGTCACGGTTGAGGAGTCTGCTGACTCTGGTGGTCCTGCGGTACAGTCCTCGCCGCATGCCCCTTCTCAGGTGTCTCCTCCTCCGCCGCCTCCGCAGCCGCCGTCGCCACCGCTGTCGGAGCCGTCGTCACCGCAGCAGCCGTCGTTGCAGCCGCCGCCGCCGCAGCCGTCGCCGCAGCAGTTCGTTGCCTCTGGGGGTGCTGGAGTTGGGGTGGGTACTAGTCCTGGGACTCCTGTCGTGGCTTGTCTCGACGGGCCTGGGGGTGGTACCGGTGCTCGAGGGGTTCTGAGCTCTGGGGGTGTTCCTTCTGGGGGTGCTGGCGTGGAGTGTTCTGGAGGTAGCCGCTAGGCAGCTTGCGGTCCCAGTGTCGGTGTCACACCGCCGCTGCAGCAGTCCCCGCCGGTGTCCACTCTTCGCCTGCTCGGCCTTCCGTCCCCTGACCCCGTGCCTGTGCCTCCTCCTCCTCCTGTCTACGGCCCTGTGTTCCCTCCTCCGGACTCGTCTCCGGCCCGTTTCCCCCCTCGTTCCCCTCTTGTGTCCCCTCCTCTGTCTCCTGATCCGACTTCTCCATCTCACGTCTGGTCTCGCCGTCCCTGCCATGCTCGACCTGTTTCCCCTATCTCGCACTCTCACCCTATGTTGCTTCGTTCTCACGTGTCTCGTCCTTCCCTTCTCCCGTTGCCCCCTCCGTCCTCCCTTGTCGTTGCTCCCCCCCCTCTGTCTGACTACCTGCGTGCCGCTCGTCCTCTTGTTCCTCGGGTCCTTGCCTCTCTCGTTACCGACCCGTCTGTTCCACTTTGGAGCCTTGAAGCCCTTGTCGCTGTGGTCGCTGACTTTGCCTCTACCCGCCGCCTTGACTACGCCACCGCTCTGGTCTCTGACCCTG